CGGTCAGCTCCTCTCAAATGCAAAATTGAAACAAAACCTGAACTGCCAATGAGCCACCATAATGCATAGGAAAGTTTTCGCTCCTCCTTTGATACGAGAAATTTACCTTTGTTCAAGTGCTGTGCAGACGACAGTGAGTCTAGAGGGAGAAATGGGTGAAAAAGATGAAATGTCAGGTTGTCATGTTTAGAAATATATTCACATTGTTAATGTTCTAACACAAAAGCAAAATGAAAACAAAACAAACTTTATGAAGTTCTAGTTAAGGAGGTTAAGTGCAATTCAGACCAGCACAAACCATTACACACATCACTACAAAATAACCACAAACATTAAAAGCTTAGGACATGACCTAAGGTTACACGACAGACCCAGATGCGTTTTACATAGCAATTAAACACCTGTGGCTGGCCCATGACAGCCGACTTGGGCTCGCAGGGCTCGGGCACTGGGGCTGTTTAATTGGGGTGTAGATGCTCGGGCTCGGGCAGAAGCCTGGGCTCTGGGACCCTGTGATGGGAGAGGGTCGCAGAGCCCAGGCTCCAGCCCGAGCCCAAACCTTGTGAGCCGGAGTCAGCGGACACAGGCCAGTCACAGGTGTTTAATTGCTGTGTAGAGAAACCCTCTGAAACCAACACATCATTCACAGACAGACCAATACACAGACACTGTCTCACTGCTTAGCATTCAATCAACTTTACATCTGCCCCTGAACCAGTAGTACTGGCTCTTCTTTCCTGACAGCCCTGGTGGTCTCATTCTCTCCAGCTCAGGAGGATAAAAGGTGGAGAATCTCTAAACCAGGGGTGGGGAACCTACGGCCCGTGGGCCAGATCCGGCCTGTTGCTCAATTTCATGTGTCCCGCAGCACCACTCCCCTCCCCGCTGCAGGGGTGGAGCCACAAGCACCAATTCACCCTGCCACAGGGGGGAAGCCCCTGGTCTGTGCACAGAGCCCTGGGAACTAGGAGAGTGGCGGTTGCTGCAACACCCCTCAGGTTCTGCACGGGGCCCACTGCCAGCCCTGTGCCCAGGGTCCCAGGATGGCTACTGGATCCCCGCCTGGGGCTCTGCCCCCGGTGGGTTCCCATCTGCTGGCCCCACACCCAGGGCTCTGCTCCAGCCCCCAGCTGTGGTCCCAGATTCAGCCCCCTTACCCCTGTCTGCATCCTGCCCCACCCTCCTGGATCCAAGGCCCAGTGTTGGCCTTAGCTCTGGGGAGAGGGGGCACAGACAGGGGTAAGGGAGGTGCCAGGTAAAAAGTTTGGGGAGCACTGGCTTTCAGGACCCCCACTGGAAAAATTGTTCCAGCACCACTACCTCTAAACCCCCCATGGGGCTGCAGCCGAGAACGCCGGCTCGGCCTGCTGTGGGGGAAAGCCCCAAGTCCTCACGTCCCCTCTCTCTCCCCCTCACGGGTGAGCGGCCCATGATTGATTTTTTTCTGTGGGTCAATGGCCCATGATGAAAAGACGGTTCCCCAGCCCTGCTGTAAAGCGAGAGAGGGACTATGGTGACACCGGAGGCCTTGCAGACAGAAAATCCAAACAAACGTATTGCAAGAACAGTGAAGCTCAAGCTCAGGTTAACGTTCATAGCTGCTAGGAAAGGAAAACCCCCAGGGAGTGCGAATGTAGGCCCCTAACCCAGTGTGTATGTGCTGTATTGAGAGCTGAGGAGGGAATTCGTAGGTTCCAAATGATTAGTTGACTATCTCCATCCACAATCATTGTCCCTAGGAGATTTCCCCAGCTCTGTCAATTATCAGTGTAATATAGGTGAGAAAATTCCCCAGGTGACTCTTTATTACCTTTGAATTTCTTCATTATGGGCTCCAAAGATGCATTTCTTTGAGAAGATTCCCAGATTCTCGATTTCAATTCAGAAGAAAAGGCCACTGGGTTCTGAAACTTCTTCCTCTCGCATCTGAAGAACAACCCAGTGTTACTCATTGCGGAGTTTGTTCATATTTGTGTTTTTCTAAAATGTATTTTATTCTAGGAATGGTTGTAGCTCAGCAGACCTTGGAGGACTAAAGTCTCTATTGCCCCAGGAATAGGTCCAATCCCAGCTTGGACACTACAAGCTTCCCCTTCGTTTTGGTGAGACCGATATTGGAAAACTGCATCTAGTTCTGGTGTCCTCATATTAAAATGGACATTGAGAAAGTGGAGCCGGTGCAGAGAAGACCCACAAAACTGATGTGAGGGCTGGTAAAAATGCCTCGCACAGAGAGAACCCTGGCACTTGAGTGTGGGGTATAAATACCGTCATGGGGAGAACAGACTAGGTACTAAAGGGCTCCTGAATTTAGCAACTAAGGCACAACAAGGACCAATTGCTAGAAGCTGAAGCCAGTGAAATTCAAATGGGAAATCAGACAGACCTTTTTAAGAGTTTGTGTGGATTAACCACTAGAAGAAACTGCCAAGGGAAGTGGTGGATTGTCCATCTCTTGACAGGGGTGCCAAAACACAGGGGCCGTGGCCCCATCACTTTTAAAAGTGGGAGTGCTCTGCTCTCTCCCTTTGTACCTGCCTTAAAGGCAAGTGATGGGGGGAGGGAGCGGAGATGAGCGAGCAGGGGGTGGAGAGGTGGAGCTGGGGTGGGCCCATGGTTTGGACACCGCTGGCCCCCCACTTCTAGGGATCTTCAAGCATTACTGTCTGTTGATGTCTTTAAATCTAGACTGACTAGGTTTCTGGAAGGTGCGTTAGTCAATGCAAACTAGGATTTAGTCAAATACAAGTTATTGGGCTGAATACAGGAATAACTGGGTGAAATTTAAGGATCTGTGATATATAGGCACTGACTCTGTGTGTGCTCTGGGGCTGGAGCACCCACAGAAAAAGAAATGGTTAGTCCACTAGCACAGGGGTTCTCAGCTTACAAAGGCCAGCGTGTGTCCACTCCACACTGGGGGAGCGGCAAACGACTGAATGAACTTGCACTGCCCGAGGGAGCCTTGAGCAGTGTGAGTTGGTGCAGTTCTGGGGGGCAGGGCTGGAGCTGGGGGGAACTGGCTGGCGCCTTCTATTGCTGGTTCATCAATGGCTGGGAGAGGATTCATGTAACACAGCTGGGCGGGTCCCTGCCCGTAGGTGTCTGTCAGCGCAGGGCCTGTCAGGCTTGTAGCTTGACATCAGCATCACAGTGCGAGAAGCAGCCCAGGTCGGGGATTTGGAGGGCTCCCCAGTCCCACAGTCCAAGTTGCACCCCGGGAACCTGTCACACTGATGTAAATCTCCCTTGTGGCAAATTAAACTGATTACTTCTTGTTCTGCCCTCAGCGGACTTGAAGACCAACTGATCACCGCTCTCTGTAGAACAGCCTCAGACATATTTGAAGACTGTTATCAGGCCCTGCCTCAGTCTTCTCTTCTCTAGACTAAACACACCCATTTATTTCAACCTTTCCTCACAGCGCATCCATTATAAACCTCTGATCATTTTTGTTGCTCTCCTCTGAACTTTCTCCAATTTTTCCACATCTTTCTGAAAGTGTGGTGCCCAAAACTAGACACAGGATTCCAGCTGAGGCCTCACCGTGGCGAGAAGGGTGGAACAACGTCCTCCTGTGTCTGACATTGACACTCCTGTTAATACATCTGTGGTGGGTGTTCACCCCACATCAGCCCCCCAAAGGAGTGAAGGAAGCTGAGAAAGAGGAGATTAGTGAGACAGGCCGCACATGAGAGGTTTAGGCCAGAGAAGCAACCCCGGATTGGATGATGAAGCTCAGTTTGGGATGTGTGGACTGGGCTGGGCTAGTATAGAGCCAGGAAGCTGGCAACACAAATTGGCTGCAGTGAGGAAGTCCGCAGCCACCCTGTGTTCATTCGAAAGGGAAAGAGGGAAACAGGGAAAGAATAGCCTGCTAGGAGCCGGGCCCTGAGGGAAGGGAGTACTTAGAATCAGAGGGTTAGAAGGGACTGCCAGGGTCCTCTAGTCTAACCCCTGTAAGAGAGAAGGGTGGAGAAGAAAGCCTATGGGAGGTGAGTAGGAAGCAGCCCAGGGAGACAGCAGACCTTGCCTGCATGTGGTACGGTCCCTGGGCTGGGACCTGGAGCAGTGGGCAGGGTCGATTTCCCCCACCAGCCACTGATGGAGCGGCATTGCCTGGGCAGTGGGACCAGTGAGACTCTGTACCCCAGAAGGGGAAACCATTTAGTGACCTGGCTGCAGGGCTGAGTCACGGAGAGGAAGCTGCAGCTCTTGGAGTGAGAGATGAGGCTGCAGAGTGAGAGAGAGACAATGGGGGAGAGATGGCAAGGGGAGGGGTTGGCCCTGGAAGAGAGCTAATCCCCCGAACAGCCAGGAGGAGGCAGCACCTGCGGTGAATACAGCAACCTGGGACAACATCCCACAATGACATTTGCCTTTTTCACAAGAGCATCACACTGCCGACTCGTTCCATTTGTGATCCATTTTACATTCTCCCCCCCCCCCCCACAATGTTTTTCCGCAGTCCTGCTGCCTAGTCAGTTATTCCCCATTTCGTGGTTGTACATTTGATTTTTCCTTCCAAAGTGCAGCACTTTGTCTTTATTGAATGTCCCCTTCAAGTGATTTTAATCCTTCCTCCCTCTGCCTTTGTCTCTTGTGTCTATTTAGACTGTAAACTCCTTGGGGCAGGAACTGTCTCTGTCTGTGTGTCTGTGCAGCACCCAGCATGTTGGGCCCTGGTTTTGCCTTGGGCCTCTAGGCACTGCCATAGTGCTACTGATAATAGCCCATTATAAACTCCTTAGAGCTGGGAATGTCTCTTCCATCAGATCTCTTGCCACACCCAGCACACGGATAGAGCTCACTGCATAATAAGAAACAATTAACAAACAGCTCATTGAATAGTCATCAGATGGCCCTGACTTTCCATCGCTACCAACTGAGGTGGAGTTTGGAGTCTATGACCTAGAAATGAGAGACCCATTCTCCATCCCCAATCTCCTGAGGTCTCCATTCCACCAGCCACACTACAAATCAATACCCCGTCTGTAGGTCAATCACTCTTTTCTCAGGCTGCTCTATTCTGGAGTCTAGTTAGAATGACAACAGCCCCAAGATTAGATTTAACAGAGAGCGATTGGGAACCAGCCCCACACTCTGCACTGCTGGACCATGGGGAGCCAGGCCTCATGTCCAAAATCCCTTCCCTGTTGGAGAGAGAGAAGGAGCCACCTACCTGCTCAAGGTGCCTTTGATGTCCTAGAGGAGAAAGATAAAAGGAAATTCAGTCCCATCTCTCACACTAAGGATCCCTCCTGCTCTGGAGGGGACTCACTTTGTCTTCACAGTTTGAGGTTCAAAGAGAAATGATTTGTTATTTATTAATGCAAACAAAACATTACATGTGCTGCCTTTGCGCCTTTGGAGAAGTGCTCTGACTGCAGGATCTGGGCCCAGGAAGTTTGTACTGGGGGCACACAGGCTCTTTGTGTAATGACATTTGGATAACCAGCGGGCACATGGAATCAGAGGGCTCAGCCTTGTGATGTGGTGGACAAGGATCAGCAGATACTGGTCGCAACAGAGAATCTGACCCTAGATAGCCGCTAGAGACGTCCAGGCTGGTACATTTTATTTCTCGCCTTTTTTTCTTTTTTTGCTAGTTAGAGGCATTTTTTGAAAAATAAAATCATTAGAAGGTTTTTGCAATTCTAACGACTACTTACACTTTCAGGCTACCATAAGTAACGAACAGCTCCTATCTAACTTCAGTTCTGGCCGAAAAATCACCACAGCCTCAGACCTCATGTATCAATTTTAAGGCCAATATTTTTCCTTTTTGTGATATGCAGGAAAAGTGGCAAAATCAGGCTTTAAATGGAATCTTAGTTTCAGTCTTAGCTATTTCCATAAAGACTGGTTCCATCTTTAATCTTTTGGAGGTAGTGTTTGGAACACAGGAAACTCCGGACTGGCTCAGACCAGAGGTCCATCTAATCAGTATTCTGTCTCCAAAGGTGGACAGTGCCTGATGCTTCAGAGGAAGGTGTAAGATGATCTGCCTCCTACATTCTCATCCTTCTCTCTAACAGTTAGTGACTGCCTAAAGCAATGAAGCATGAGGTTTAATATCATTCTGCATCTTCTTGTTATCCATATAAATATCCGATCGCTTTTTGGGTTTTGCTAAATGCTTTGTCTCAACAACATCTGGAGGCAATGAGTTCCACAGGCTAATTACGTGATGTGTGAAAAAGAGTTCATTGGATCAGTTTTGAATTTGTCACCTTTTAATTTTATTGAATGTCCCTTTGTTCTTGCATTATGAGACAGGGAGAACAGTTTGGAGTTTGCCATTTTTGGAGGAGTCTTGTCCCACTAGAATTCAAAAGAATTTCTTTTTATTTAGGGCTTGATCCAATGTCCACTGTACTCAAGAATTATATTTCCATTGACTTTAATGGTCATTTTGTCAAGCCCTTAAGGAAAAATAATGTATATTTGAGCAATACTATATGTTCTGACCATTCACTCCTACACTCCAAGAGTGAAGAGTTAGGAGACTTTCTTGCCCTGTGAAAGGTTCTGGGGTGTTTCTAACACTGTCTCACCTGCAGGAATTCACTCGCTGGCTGCTGGCACTTCTGCTCCATCTCACTGATCAGGGAACTGAAAGAAGATATTTCCTCAGATAATTTGGCAACATACTCAGCCCTCCCCTTTTCAATTTCCTTATTCAGCTCTTCCAACTGAGCCAGCCGGAGTCGCTCTTGTTTCTCCAGAAACTGACGCAGTTGCTGAAATTCAGACACAACCTTCTGCTTCTCAGTTTCCAGCTGTTTCTGAAATGACAAGATACGAACAAGAAATCCAGGTTAAGGACAAAACTACGGAGTGAGTCATGGGACATTTTATAAAGCCATGGGACATTTTGTGCATGTGGCAGCATGTCATTGCAACCCCTCAGAATTTAACTTCTGACATTTTATGGAGAACATACTCTGTGCTCATTAGACAGAAGATTGTCCAATAGGTTTTCAAGAGTCCTAACTGGTGTTTAGAATATAAATTTTTCTTATAGGATTTAGATAATCTGTGATCAGTGGCTTCAAGAAAACCAGATCCTTCCAATAACAGGAAGCACAGCAGGTGTGGGATTGAGAACTGGACCGGCAAGGATTATATTAGTAGAAGAAACAGCAGAACCCAAACTGAGAAGCACTAGACTTGAACTGGGGAACACAATCTGTCCACAAATTCATAGAGACATAAAGGGCCTTTAAAAAAAGGTACTAAAATTTGAACTCCATCATTTCCTCTCATGAGTTTTGAAAACAGTTTTGGATACATAAAATTTGGCACACCATAAATCTGGATTTTAAGCCACACAGGGATCTTGAGCACAAATTGGGCTGCTGGGAAGACCCCTTTTTGTACATGCAAATCTGAATTCACAAGATGCTTATGGATGAGTGCATGTGAACTGGACAGAAGTCCACCAATTCATGCTGTTTCTGGAGCATTCTCTGGCCCCCGATACCCTGGGAGCAAGGAAATTAGACCAGATTTGGAACCCAGATCTTCTCCATGGCAATGTCTAGCATTGATACCATTAAGGGCCTGTTCCAAAGCTCACTGAACTGACCCGGAGTCTATCCAATGACGTCCTTGTGCTTTGTCTTAGGCACTAAGTGACCAGCCTCCTCCTCTGGGGAGCAGATGCCTAGAGCAGCTGCACGGATTGGCCAGCTGTGGTTATCTCTGTTGAAAGTACAGCCAAGGCTGGCTCCAGGCACCAGCAAAGGAAACAAGTGAAGGGGTGGCATTCCCGCCATTCCTGGGGTGGCACATTTCAAGGGCTTTTTTTTTTGGCGCAGCTTGGGGTGGCAAAAAAGCTAGAGTCGGCCCTGAGTACAGCTGGCCAAAAAACTAGGGGGTGGGGAAATTTGCAAAAATAATTGAAATTTCAAAGTTGTTTCCATTTCTCTGTTTTCCAAATGGAAGTTCTTTTGATTTGTTAGAAAAATCTGACATTTTTCAAAAGTTACTTCAACATATTTTTCATTCTCCCTTTTCCTAAAAAAGAACAAAATAATGTTCATTTCCCCCTATTTTTCTTTTTAGTACTTCCTCTCTGTACCTCTTCAAAAGAGCTCCCGTTTCTGAAAAAATGGCAAAAAGGAAAAAGGAAAAACGAAGAGAAAAAAACCCTGGAAATTATTCATTTTAGTGCATTCAGTAGAAAAAAGGACAAAAAAGAGAAAGAGGTAAAGAACAAACATGAACGTTTTAAAAATTTTCAGCTTTTTAAATGCAAAATGAAAATTTCAGTTTGAAATGACAAAAATGTTTGTTTCATTTTGAAATTTCCTGTCAAAAAATTGAAAAATTTGTTGCAAGTGACTTTTCCCCATTAACAAATTTGTTTTTTTACTAAACCTTTTTATCTGCAGGAAGCTTTTCTTGGTTGAAGATGTTCAACCAGCTTTAGTTGAAAGACTAAAGGAGAAACTACTGTTAAGTAAACAAATTACACTCTATCAGTGAAAATATTTGAATTATTAAAACTTTCTTCAATGCTGCATTTTCCTGCTTACTCTCACTTAAAGCAGAACACTTTTTGTTTACAACGAAAAGAAATAAGTGATCATCTTACACGGATGGGAACGTGTTACTCACTATTCCTCTGATGATACTCAGACTAAGCCGTGTGTTGATAATGTCCCTGTGCACATTTGCTTCTGAGTAATAACGGCACCTACCAGCACTTCATGGCTTTTATTTTCCCCACTCAATTTAAATGACAAAATCGCTTCTCTCTCTTTCTTCAAGATCTTCAAACGACTCCAAATTTGGTCCTAACAAAAGAAAAATGGGGAATTTGCCAATGCAATATCACTGTCTTCCTTTTAAACAAATAAAACTAAAAAACAAAAACAAAAAACAAAAAAAAAAAAACGCATTTCTTGCTCCATTTTATCCTACTTTTCCTACAGCAAGTTACAGTGGATCAGTATATTTGATTTGGGGGAAATGAAGTAACAGCTGCCCAAATTGAGCTTGAGCACTTCTGAATGTTGAGGTGTTCAAATCTGGAAGGCAGGTGCTAGATTCCCTTTCTGAATATTAGCTAAATCTGGAAAGGAAAAGTCCATTTCTGCTTCCATGGCTCAGAAGTGGAAATCCTCCAACATGCCTGGTACTGTATCTAAAGCTGCCCAAGTCCTCTAGGAGAGCCGCCCCTCCCTTACTTTTCATTTTAAATTCTAGTGGGGTCCACGTACCTCCCTTGCTAGGCTTCAGATCCAGAGGTGCACTGTCCATTTAGTCCACCCAGTTCCTTCTTTGGGGGCTGCAAGGTGAGGTCACACCAGTATCCCTAATCCAGTCTGGGGATGTCTTCTGAAGGGGATATCTGGGCCAAAGCCTTCTACTCCTTGGGCAGACTTCTCCCCCATTCACAGTGCCATCCTTCTAGCAGCCAGCTCTCCATTCACAGCAAACTGCAGCATGTCTCAGCTACTTCTCTCCCTCCCTTTCCTGTTGATAGCGGCCAAGGGAATGCTGGGAAATGTAGTTCTTTCCTTGCTCCAGGGCTGGCTCTATAGGCAGGGAGCTAGCCAAGGAACAACAGCTCCCAGGGCCCCTGTTGGTTCTCAGCTCCCAGGCTGGATCCCTGCCGCCCCTGCAAATGTGCCGCCCCAAGCACCTGCTTGCTTTGCTGGTGCCTAGAGCTGGCCCTGATCTTTTCCCAACAGGGGATCCTCTGGTAAGGACGAGATATTTCCAAAGACTGATCGATACAGATGAGCTTTTGTGTCACTGATACGGATATGAAGTTCTTGGTGGAAATGTGGACAAAGTGATTGTTCATTATTTGGGACAAGAAGAAACACCTGACCCATGTGTGCCCTATAGGAATAGGAGAAAATATCCCTTGAGATCTCATGTCGTACATTGTCATATGAACTGTCAAAAGTTGTGGAGCAGAAACATTTAGGCCTATCTAAAAATTACCAGTGAAAAATAACAGACTAATGTCTCAGCTGCACATATGGGAGTGACTCTTCCCAAAAATACACAACAAATAAAAAATACTGTATGAAAAACAGAAAAGCAGAATTAGTCCCAATGCTTAGTGATGTGTATGACCTTCACTGTCCCCTGGAAGGGTTTGTGTGTCAGTACTGCCGGGTCCCTGAAATCTCTGCAAGTTGGGAGCTTCCAGACGTTACGGGTATTTAAGAGGTGACAATATTGAAGCCCACTACACTTGTTTCATACACCACGTTTCAGCCAGGAGACTTTTCCTCTCCCCCTTCTTGTGCCTTTTTTCAGGAAAATCTGGGAATTCCTGTGGCTGCACTGATTCATGACAAGTGCACAACACGTGCACACAAGATGTTTTTTCATTTCTAGCAGAATCTGTGTCCCAGGTCAGCAGCAGTTCCACTGTAATAGTACTGGGCTATAGGTTATACATTTCAGCCCCTGGGCAATTCAGAACTGACTTTTCTGGGTCCTTATGGTATTAAAAATGGTTTGGGGCCAGAACAGGTTAATAACAGTGTGTTATAAGTCTGTTCTCATTGCTAAAGTATTGCTCGTAAGGGGGTCTAACCGTATCCACCTTTTTTGCCATAATTTTTTTATTAAAATGCCATTCCTGGACGTTCCAGCTTTTACACCATCCCATGATTTCTTACCTTGTAATCCTCAGCAGCTTCCTCTATGGGAACTGCAGTGTGTTCTCTGTGATCTCGGGACAGGTGGCAAACCAAACAAATGGGTGTTTGATCCTCTTGGCAGAAGACTATTAAATCCTCCTTGTGTTTTTCACACACTCTCCCAACTTCTGGTTCTTTTGTTGGCTCCAGTGTAAGTTTTCTGGAAGCTTCTACAATATTCCTCAGCTGTCTGTTTGGTTTGAAGTTTCTCTGGGAGAAGGTTTCTCTGCACTCAGGACAGTGTAAGTTTGTGCTCAATGCCTCCCAGCACCGAGTGATGCAGGCCTGGCAGAAATGGTGCCCACAATCTAGAGACACTGGGTCTTTAAAATAATCTAGACACACCGCACAAGTCACTTCACCTAGGAGCAGTTGCTCTGGATTCGTGACAGCCATGGCTGGTTCTGCAGAGAAGAGAGGAATTTAGTTTTATTTTTCTGTTCTCAGAAATGGGCTGATTCTGAACTCTGCACACCGACCAGACATTTCCTGTGTCTTCATTGTCTCATGTTACTCTTGGGAGGCTGGAACAGGGCCGGATGAACTTTTTGTGGGCCCAGCACGAAACATATTTGTGGACCCCCATTGGGAAATAAGGCATGTGCTGGGGGCGGTCTGCAGCACGAGGGGCCAGTTGGGGGCAATGAGGCGCAGCGGGAGCAGCCCCCCTCAGCCCAGCACAAGGGCACTGTTTACAAACCCACAACTGCTATATGCACACTGGCCCGCCCAGCCCTGCGCTCCCAGCATGTCCCTTCCACACTGCCCCCCTGCCCAGTGCCCTGATCTCATGCCCAGCACCCCCTCACCCAGAGACCTCCGCCCCACAGAGCCCTACGCCCGGTGCCCCCTCACCCAGAGACCTCCCCTGCAGATCCCTACGCCGGCGCCCCCTCGCCCAGAGACCTCCCCCCACGGATCCCTACGCCCGGCCCCCCCTCGCCCAGAGACCTCCCCCCACGGATCCCTACGCCCGGCACCCCCTGCCCAGAGACCTCCCCCACAGATCCCTACGCCCGGCGCCCCCTCACCCAGAGACCTCCCCCGCAGATCCTGTGCCCAGCACCCTTTGTCCAGAGACCTCCCCCGGTGACCTCCCACCACAACTGCACTGCACCCTGCACACCACACCCCCTGCCCAGCTCCCCACCCACAGATCCTCAACTGCCCAGCACCCCCTTCACAGTCCCACCATCATAGCTGAACAGCACCTCACATTCCTGAGGGAATTTGGCAGCAAATTCTGGGCATATTTTAAAATTCTGCTCCACCATGGCAGGAGGGAGCACAGGCCACTGAGGGGGGAGATCCCTGCAGCCTCCCCTGCCCCCTGGGACAGGGACTTGGCCGTGAAGCTGAACCTCACCCAGCACAAGGACCAGGCCAGCCCCAGAAACACCCTGGGCCCTGCCCCTTTTGTGCCAGGCACCCCAGATGTGGGCAGGGAGGCTCAGCCTGGCAGCAGGATCCACTAGCAGAGGGACTTAGTGTGGGGGGATCCAGATGGGGATCAGAGGGCTCTGTGGGGGGGGGGGGAAGTCTGGTTGCAGGCAGCTCCGTGGGGGATCTAGATGCACAGGAAGGTGCCAGCTGCAGGGGCAATGGGAGGGGGAGCTTAGCGGGGGGGCGGGTATCTGGGCTCAGGGGAGGTGGGGTTCATTGGGTGGGGGTCCGGGTGTAGGTGGTTGTGACTCAGTGGGGAGGGTGTCTGCGGGGGGCTCATTGGGGTGGTACCGATGCAGGGGGAGTGGGGCTTGTCAGGGTGAGGGTTTGATGGGCCTGCTTAACAGGGGAGCCCCAGCTGCTGCCAAGGGGATCTGCACACTGGGCTCCTGCTCCTCCCCCGCTTCCCCTGCACCCCTCTTTCCCTTCCCCACCACTCCATCTCCTCCCCATCCCACCCCCTTCCTTCCCCACAGCCTCTTCCCCCTGCCCCCCGCATCCCCCATCCCCTTCTCTTCCCCACCACTCCATCTCCTCCCCATCCCACCCCCTTCCTTCCCCACAGCCTCTTCCCCCTGCCCCCCGCATCCCCCATCCCCTTCTCTTCCCCACCACTCCATCTCCTCCCCAT